CGCAATATTCAGCGGGCGACATGGGAATAGACAATTTGAAATTGCCCATCTTACCACTTTTCGACATAGAAGTTGAAAATCAAAATAATCATAGAACTCTTTCACTTAAATCTGATGCACAAAATTTTCCGGTTTTATTAGATTCTAGGTCAGTATTTAATTTCTTGCCTTTATACATGATTGTGAATTTAGCAATACAAACAAATGCATCATATAGTAGTGAAGTTAATAGATGGGTGGTGGAATGTGACCAGGTTTCAAATTTAAATGCTACTTTGAACTTTAAATTCGGTGACTTAAGTGTTAAAGTTCCATTGGATGACTTCTTGATTACGGCAAGCTATAATAACCGGAATTTAACATTTGCTACAGGAAAAAAAGCTTGTTATCTAAGCTTTTTACCAAGCTCAGCATCCGGTTATACTGGACTAGGGTTGCCGTTTTTAAGGGCCATATATTTAGCTGTCGATTACGAAGGAGGAAAAATCGCGGTGGCTAAGTCAAATCATAATCTTAATGCGGTAGAAAAGGATTATTCTAATACCAAAAAAACGGAACAGTATTCAACATCTTTAGCAGATTTAGAATCTGAAACGAGCGGATACTTGAGTAATCATACAGTTCATAAATCCATCGCATATATTCAATCGGGAAAGATTCCATTTGCAACTAGATATAATGGTACAGAAAATTTTACGCTATCATATGTTCCTCTGAATTTCACGAAATTTGGAGACCCATCAATACCTGCAGTTTTATCCGGAATTATAATTAAATCGGGTGACGTTTTCGTCACTGAATCTGAAGGTTTTAGTTCAACGGAGAACCAAAGCACCAGTAAAACGAATTATGGAAATAGGCTTGAACCACCTGTCATTTTTGATAAGCAATTATCCAAGAAATTAATATCCTTGAGTATGGGAATTTCTACCTGTATTATTTGTATTTTATTCTTATGATTCACGGTAGCACTCCTTTGCAGAAATTTAATAAATATGTATATTAGATCAAAAAAAAATCAACGCATTTCTATACTGTACAAGATATATATTTAAATATAAGTCGGCAATTTCTTAAAAGCCATATGAAAAAGATAGATTACAACTTTTTCATTTCTATGCTGTCAACTTTTGAATTCGAATTTATGTCCACTTTTGATGAGCCAACTGATACTTCGTCGTCTTCAGTTTCATCCTTGCCATTTAAGCTTGAATATCCTTCTAATTCTTTGCTTTGGTTTTCTTTAAACCTGTAATAGTTGTACCAAATAATATCAACAAAGGTAATTAATAACCCTAAGCAGTTAATAAAACTCAACTTGTCGCCGAAAATTAAAGCACTAAGAATAATAGTTAAAAGTTCCTTAAAGATTCCTGCTATTGATAATGTAATAACTTGTGCCACTGATAATAGCTTAAATTCACACAAAGTCATCATAAATGCTAAGATGCCAGGTATAAGTATAAGCAAAATTGTTCCAACTACACCCTGTAATTCCCAAATAGGAGATTGAATAAAGTTAGACCATCCTTCAAAGCCCAATCCAAATAGAAATAATGTTAAACACATGGAAGGTGAAATGTAAAATATTGTTGAGATTGAGTTGTTCGTATAATCATTATGTTTCAATAAAATTTGAGTAAAAGACCATCTTAATCCAGACATCATCGAGGCACCAAGAACCAACAATATCCCGAAATTAGTGCGGTCATCTTCTGGAGTCAGAACCAGACCAACGTTTTGTGGCTTCTTCACCATCATAATTACCGAGCCTGTCATAATTAATACGATTACCAATAATCTCCAATGGAACTTTTCCAAACGAAAAAGTAACCCGAAAAGCAATACAAACATTAATGACGATGCCTTCAACATTGTATATAACGATAAAGAAATGAACTTGAATGATACATTGGACAACCCAATGTCCCCAGCAGATGCAAGCGAACAAGGAAATATTTGCTTTAAATATGTGAACAAGTCAATTTTGAAAATAGACAAAAACGATATAAATTTAGAATGGGGATTACTAGGCCGACTGACATTATTACTATCATGGCTCTTCATATTTATCGTAGGCCTCAACTTCGGCTTTATCCATAATACCAGTCCGCTTAAAATCATTAAGCAAAATTGGTGGAAAGAGGTAACCAATATTGGAAACTTAAAATCAAGCCCATTCCCAAACATCCACTTGTTATATATGGAAATGGATAATGAAAAGAAGTACCATCCGAGGATATAAATCAGAGCTTCGACAGTTTTTGTTTTATGAATTGTCGGCGTATATGTTGTAGGCGATGACATGCTTGCTTTATGTGGTGCTGAATCGTGGTTATCGAAGCTATCTGCTCTAAACGACGGTTTTCTTGATATGATTTTGGATGGCGATAAACTGCTATAGCTAGCACTTGCGTTTGGATTTGGTGTTATTATGGGCATTAAAATTCTGAATTACATCCAATTATACCATCAATTATCTTTGAATTGCTCTAATTGTATACTTGTTCTTTTGGTGAATATGATGAAATAAAATATAAAATCTTATGGGGTCCTTTTACCCCGCTTACATAATCATAACACAACCTGAATTTAGAGAGGTGAAAGAAGTATCTAAACAACATTGGAGATTCGATCAGATTGAAAGAAAGACTGAACTAAAGAAAATATGTCACATAGGAACACGGATCCATGTTCGTTGATAAATTTGCAGAGACAGTATATTTTGGATCAAATTAAAGGTATCCAAGCGCAAGGTACGCTATATGCATTAATTATTGATGATAGAACTGAATCGCTCTTGAACCAGGTAATCTCGAAAGATAACATATTACGAGTTGTCACGTCCATAGAGAAGTTAGATGATAAACGTCGACAACAATCGTTTATTGAAGCAATTTATTTTGTTGAATTGACACCATATACCATTAAATGTATGATAGCGGATGTCGAGACAAATAGGTACAAGAAAGGACATGGATTATTCTTGCCTTTAGTTCAGGGAGAAATGGAAGTTTCACATTTGTATAATTCGCCAAAATTCATGAATAATCCGAAGGTGTTGAATTATTTCAATAATGGGGAAAGTGTCAGCTTTATTCATTCTAGTTTTCACCCGATTGAGACTAGAGTTTTTCTTGCCGACGATAAGACGCCCAATTCTATGCCAATATATTACAACGAAAACTGTGCTGAGTTGGTCTTGCCTCAAATCAGAATTGCAGCAAAATCTTTGGTTAATTTGATGGTTTTGACAGGTGAATACCCGTTGATAAGATTTTATTCACCACAGAATCCAACTCATAAAGCATCTAGACTTCCTGAGTTGCTTGCGGATGAATTTCAGAGACAGATTGATAATTATGCCCGATTAAATCATGATTATCCACCACCATCGATTCAAGATAAACCAAGATCGATCTTATTGATTACGGATCGTACGTTGGACTTGTTTGCACCATTATTACATGAATTTAGTTACCAGGCAATGGCAATGGATATTGTACATAGTCTAGAGCGTGATGGTGTTTATTGTTTTAAATCTGAGAATGAGAAAGGTGAGGTAAAGGAAGTCAAAGCAACTTTAGAAAATGAAAATGATGAAGACTGGGTTAGTTTAAGACATTTGCATATTATCGAAAGTTCTGAACTTATTATGAACAAAATTAACGAATTGATTAAAAAGAACCCTTTGATGGTTGACAGAACCAAGGCTACCACTTCAAGTGATTTGATGTATATCGTTGCTCACTTAAAAGGGTTTGACGAAGAAAGAAAACAAATTACATTGCACAAAAACTTAATTGATGAATGTCTTGATATCAATGCTAATCGTAAATTGGCTGAATTTGCTGCAGATTTCGAGCAGAATTGTACTGCTGGAGGAACTAGTTTCGAAGGGATCAAGAATAAGCAACTTGCGAATGATTTGGTTGATTTATTAGCTAGAGATGATTTGCATGTAAATGATAAAATGAGATTAGTCTTAATTTACGGGTTATACAGGGGGGGTTTGATCGATGCAGATTTTGTTAAGCTCGTGAAATTTATAGGTGTTAGAGATCGCCAAATTATTTCGCTTATATCTCGTTGTTTCACTAATTTGCATAAGCTTGGCTTTCCTGTAATTAAATCGAGCGTTAAAGATAAACCGTTGAAAAAGGAACTGTTTCATACAATTAATAATGAAGGAACTTATAACACCTCGAGATTTGGCCCAGGATTGAAAGCTGTCTTACAGAAGGCAACAAAATACCAGTTAGACGAAGAATGGTTTCCGTATTTCCGTGATAAGCCATTAGAAGATGACATGCCCGCTTCTACTACTAGCTCTAATAACAATAACCAAAATGGAACTACGAATAATTCCTTAAGAAACCCAAGAATAAAGGCTTCGTGGGCACAAGCATCTAATAAGGTTTCTCTGAATATTAATTCTGTTAACAGACCGAAGCAAAGGATATTTTGCTATGTTGCAGGCGGAGTTACCTATTCTGAAATGAGATCTATCTATGAATTGTCTAATGCTACGAACAAAGATTTCTACTTAGGATCCGAATCAATTTTAAAGCCAAGAGATTTCTTAATTGGCTTACAGAGCATCGATACAGTAAAACAGATAAATGATCTCAATTTGAACTTATACAATGAAATGACATCATCTAAAGAGGTTCCAATCGAGTTATTCGAAACGAACCAACCGAAGATTCCCCAGCCACCTGCCGTCAGCGCTGTAACAGGTACGAATTCCGGTCCGCAAACCCCACTGCATTACCAAAAGAGAATGAGTGGAAGTGAGACTTCAAGTTCATCTGCCATTCCTTCAGAGAATAAACAAACAAAGGATAAGAAAAGAAGCAAATTGAAGAAGTTATTTAGATAGATAAATTTTAGCAAATGCACGACGATATTAAATTTAATTTGTAATCTGTGAATTTTTCAGTACTAATGAAAGTACTAAAGCAATAACTACGGCGTAGAACTATCATTAGAAGATAAAAATGGAGCAGGTTGATATACCATCAATGGATACGACTCATCTCAATATTGGGTTTAGTCAGTTGCCATTATTCTTTTCATCTTTGCTGGAATCAACGAATGTGGCATCTAGTAATAACAGCTTTCCAACTAATGGGTGGCTAGGCTGTTCACATAAAGATGGTTGGGCACCGTTATCGCCATTCTACAGTGATATTTCTCCGTGTTTTTTACAGGGTATAATATTTGGTATCTCATCCGTTTTAATGATTGGTGCTGGTACATACCAGATTGGCGTTTTAAGGAATATAAAGGTTAATGTCAGCAATAGAGTTTCATGGACATTTTATGCTAAGATAATATTAGTTGCCTTGCAATTTGCTTTCCAAATAGGGCTTTTTGTAACTTATAACGGGAAGGATATTATTGCTTTATCTTTGGTTTTAAATACTGTTGCAATTATAGTTAGTTTTGGTTTACACTATATCGAGCAATTTAAAGCGACTATACCAAACGGAGTCTTGCTCTTTTATTGGTTGTTCCAAATTATTTTAAACCTCGGGAAAATTGTTAATTTAAACTTAAGAAATGCTATCCATAGTCATTTTGCAATTATCACAGTTGTATCTTGTGTAAATGCTTTCTTTATCTTATTCTTAGAAGTATATTTCCCTGTACAACCAAGAATCCCTTTCAAGTCTACTGTTAGAACTTCACCATATGATTCAGCTAATGTTTTTTCTAGGATTACATTCAATTGGATGGGCTCATTGATGAGAAAAGGTTACGTCCAGTATTTGACTGAACGTGATTTACCTCCTTTGCCGAGGAACTTGAAATCTTCTAATACATCGAGTGCATTCAATCATTATTGGAATACACAAACCAGTAGGCCTTCATTAGCTTGGGCTCTTTCGAAGGCATTTGGTGCCTCCTTTTTACTTGGAGGTGTTTTTAAGGGTTTACAGGACTCTTTAGCATTTGTTCAACCTCAATTATTGAGATTACTTATTAAGTTTGTTAATGAGTATTCTGAATCGTTGAAGAGAGATGATCCAATACCATTGACAAAAGGTTTTATGATTGCGGGGTCTATGTTCGTTGTTTCAGTTACCCAGACTGGCTGCCTACATCAGTATTTCCAAAGAGCTTTTGATTTAGGAATGAAAATAAAGACTTCATTAACTTCTATCATCTACAACAAATCCTTGGTTTTATCAAATGAAACAAAACAAGAATCGAGTACTGGAGATATTGTTAATTTAATGTCTGTTGATGTTCAAAGATTGCAGGATTTAGTTCAAAACTTACAAATTATTTGGTCTGGTCCATTTCAAATTATATTATGTTTGCTATCTCTACATAATTTATTAGGGAGGGCTATGTGGGCAGGTGTCGGTATTATGCTTATAATGATTCCTTTGAACGGTGTAATTGCAAAATACCAGAAGAAGCTTCAAAAGCGCCAAATGAAAAATAAAGATGAGAGGTCGAGATTGATTAGTGAGATTTTGAATAACATTAAATCATTGAAATTATATGGCTGGGAGCATCCTTATTTAGGTAAGTTGAGTCATGTAAGAAATGAAAAAGAATTACGTAACTTGAAGAAGATGGGAGTGTTTGGTGCAGTTTCTGTATTCACTTGGAACTTGGCTCCATTTTTGGTGAGTTGTTCTACATTTTCTGTCTTTTTATTATTTGAAAAGGACAAAACTTTGCTGACTGATATTGTTTTCCCTGCGTTAGCATTATTCAATTTATTATCTTTCCCATTGTCTGTTGTTCCAATGGTTATTACAAATATTGTTGAAGCACAAGTAGCACTTTCAAGATTAACAAAGTTCTTGACTAGTTCTGAAATACAAACAGATGCTGTCATTAAAGCTCCAAGAGTTAATAAACTTGGTGAAGTCGCAGTTTCAGTGAAAAATGGTACATTTTTGTGGTCTAAGAATAAAAATGATGACAATTATAAGGTCGCCTTATCCCAAATTAGTTTTGAGTCTAGGAAGGGTAACTTAGATTGTATTGTTGGTAAGGTTGGTTCCGGAAAGTCTTCCTTAATTCAGGCTTTTCTCGGTGATTTATATAAGTTAGATGGTGATGTTAGACTCCATGGTAAAGTTGCCTATGTATCTCAAGTCCCTTGGATTGTTAATGGAACTGTTAAGGAGAATATTTTATTTGGACATAAGTATGATGCTGAATTCTATCAACACGTTTTAAAAGCATGTGCATTGACGGTTGATTTAAGTATATTACCTAAAGGTGATAGGACAGAAGTCGGTGAAAAGGGTATTTCATTATCTGGAGGCCAGAAAGCAAGACTTTCTTTAGCAAGAGCGGTATATGCAAGAGCTGACGTGTATTTGTTGGATGATCCACTAAGTGCTGTTGATGAGCATGTTGGAAGACACTTGATTGATCATGTTATAGGCCCACTGGGATTATTAAAATCCAAATGTAAGATATTAGCAACCAATTCCATTGGTGTGTTAAGTATTGCCAATAATATTCATATGGTTAGTAATGGTAAAATCGTGGAACACGGTACATACGATGAAATCATGAAACAAGAGTCCAGCCTTTTACGTCAGTTAATAAAGGATTTTGGTAAGAAGAAGGAAGAATTATCTAATGAAGGAGAATCAGAATCTGAGAATGAAGATAAAATAAATTTGGAAAATTTGGAATCGGATTCTGACTTTGAAATAGATAGTTTACGAAGAGCGTCCGATGCGTCTTTAATTCCAGATGACGAACGTAATGTTGAAGAAGAAGAGGAAGATGAAGAAGCTAAGGAAAGAAAAGAACATCTTGAGCAAGGTAAAGTCAAGTGGAATGTTTATTTGCAATATGCGAAGGCTTGTAATCCGACCAGCGTGATGATTTTCTTAGTATCGACTGTGTTGAGTATGCTTGTATCTGTTGGAGCCAATGTTTGGCTTAAGCATTGGTCTGAAGTGAACAGTAGATACGGCTATAATCCAGACATTCTTAAGTATTTGGGAATTTATTTCTTATTGGGATTTGGCAGTTCAGCGTTAGTCTTGGTTCAAACATGCATTATGTGGATCTGGTGTACAATCCAAGGATCTAAAAGGTTGCATAATGATATGGCTATAAGCGTGTTGAGGGCGCCAATGTCATTTTTTGAGACAACACCAATTGGAAGAATATTAAATAGATTCTCCAATGATATCTATAAAGTTGATGAAGTTCTTGGTAGAGTATTTGGTATGTTCTTTAGTAATTCGACTAAGGTTTTATTTACCATCATTGTCATTTGTTTTTCCACTTGGCAATTCATTTTCCTTATACTCCCTCTAGGTGTGTTATATGTTTATTATCAGCAATATTACTTGAAAACCTCTAGAGAATTGAGAAGGTTGGATTCTGTCTCAAGGTCACCAATATTCGCAAATTTCCAAGAATCCCTCAATGGAGTCTCCCTTATTAGGGCGTACGGTCAAGAAGAAAGATTTAAGTTCATGAATGAAAGTAGAGTGGATAGAAATATGAGTGCCTATCATCCCGCGATCAATGCTAATAGATGGTTGGCTGTTAGATTAGAATTTTTAGGTTCAATTATTATTTTAGGTGCAGCTGGATTATCTATCTTAACTTTGAAATCGGGACATTTATCAGCTGGTTTGGTTGGTTTGTCTGTGTCCTATGCTTTGCAGGTCACTCAATCGCTTAACTGGATTGTTAGAATGACGGTCGAAGTTGAAACTAATATTGTTTCTGTTGAAAGAATATTAGAATATTCTGAATTGACCCCAGAAGCACCCGAAGTTATTGAAGATAATAGACCAAATGAAAGTTGGCCTGAATTTGGTAAAATCTCGTTTAATAATTACTCAACAAAATATAGACCTGAATTAGATCTAGTATTGAGAAATATCGACTTAACTATTAACCCTAGAGAAAAAGTGGGTATCGTTGGGAGAACTGGTGCTGGTAAGTCGTCGTTAACTTTAGCATTATTTAGAATTATTGAGAGCTTTCAAGGTAATATTAGCATTGATAACGTTGATACTAGCACCATCGGATTAAGTGATTTGAGACACAAATTATCTATAATTCCACAAGATTCTCAAGTATTTGAGGGTACCATTAAATCCAATTTGGACCCTACGAATGTTTTCTCTTCTGATCAAATTTGGAAAGCATTGGAATTATCACATTTGAAAGACCATGTATTGAAAATGTATGAAGAAAGTGAGGACGAGGGAGTAGCATCCGCATTAGATGTAAAATTATCAGAAGGTGGATCTAACTTATCTGTTGGACAACGGCAATTGATGTGTCTTGCAAGAGCCTTGTTAATTCCTTCACACATATTAGTGTTAGATGAAGCTACCGCTGCCGTTGATGTTGAAACCGACCTCGTGTTACAAGAAACTATTAGAAGGGAATTTAAGGACAGAACTATTATGACTATTGCGCATAGATTGAATACAATTATGGATTCCGACAGGATTATTGTTCTTGAAAATGGTGAAGTTGCTGAGTTTGATTCACCCGCCAATTTATTGAAGAATAAACAATCGTTGTTCTACGCGTTGTGTAAGCAAGGTGGTATTTCTGAGGATTAATTGATGATTCTTTACATTCTAGGTTATTATTATTATTATTTATATAAGTGTTTAATAATATACAACGATATATAATATTTTTTATATAATCCGTTCAATGTTCACTTCTCTTTCTCAAAGAGTTGATATAATACAAGGGGTAAAATTGTTCTCTTGATTCTACTTCACAATTATTCGCTGTAGAAATAGATTTTGACAAATTAGACCTATCAACAATTTCCAAGACATTTGAATTGTTATTTATTTGATAGAACTCCAATAAATCATCGCCCGATTCTATATCCTTTGAAGCGATAAAAGTCCCTGACGACTGGTCCAAGCAAATATCAATTAAGGAATAATTAACTTCCAATGTGCACTTATGAATAATCGAAAAATCATCTTTCAATTCAAATAATAAAACACAGTTCGTATTTTCACATAGAATAATTAATAGTTTTTCACTTGATTTAGGATTGACATACGTTAATATTTTAGAAATAGAAATTTCTCTCTTGGAGTCTTCAGTAAGAAATCTTTCAGGAGGTAAATGAGAGTCAGTCAAAAATGGTTGAACTAAATCACGTAACTGAACCTTACTAAGTAATTCATTTTTATACCAATTCCACAAGCAAATAAATTCATCTCCTCCACCACTGATCAATAAGTCTGTATTAAATTCAGGAATATGTAATGACGAAACAAACTCACGATGACCAAACAACCAATGTTTCACAACATAAGATTTTGGATAGTTTGACACCTTTATATGCTCATCTCTATCACCAGTTAAAATAAACTGTTTTCCATTGTGTTCGGCGATTTTAACATCACTTAACATTGAGACATGGCCTAATAATGGAGATAACTCTTTCTCATCAATTGCGGCTTCTGAGTTAATATCAATAGTATAAACATCACCGAACTTATCAGCCACAACGACTGTCTTATCGTCGATAGAAGTAGATACCGCACAAGGTCGTTTCGGAAAGACTTGACGTTTAATTAGAGTTAGGCAGTTTTCAGTATTTTCAAAATCGATACTAAAAATAATAACTGATTTATCACTATCAGTAATCCCAATTAAAAAATTTTCATCCTTTGATAAGGTTAAAGCTCTAATATAATTGTAAATTGGTGGAGCACCAGGTCCAGGCACTGGGATTTTTGGTACTTTAATAGCTTTTGAGACACTCGATTTTTGTTTCTTATACGGAGGTGTATTCTCTTGTTCGGTGTCTTCGCTGGTTTGTGTTAATTCTTCTTGTTGCGCTTGTAACACTTTAATTTTTTCTTCTTGTTGTTTCCTCAAAGAAGTATTACTGTTAACTTCATCGATCCAAACTCCAAGTAATGATCCTGATTCCAAGTCAAAAACTTGTAAGTTGTTTTTCACAGTAGCAAATAAATGCTTTCCGGACTTATCTGTGGTTATGATTTGAAAAGGATGTTTCATTTGTGCATATATAAGCCTTACTGATCAACTGGCAGTTCAAAAGGTTTCTCTGTGAAAAATTTAAGATGAGTTCCAGGTCACGTGCTACTTTAACATTTTGCAACTAAAGTACTCTAAAGCTTTAATTGAGGAAGAAAAAATGCTAATATACTGTACTTTCTACTATTTATGTACTATCAGAGAATAACTACTTGGAACCTGTATTTATTATCTTACAAAAAGCTTTATGCATGTATGTATAAACCTTAGGATTTCTTCTTAAATCCCCAACCACTAGTCCAACTAGATATTCTATTTCCAATAGGCTTCGTAGGAGTACTTGGAATGTCATCTTCGTCTTTAGCAGACTGTTCCTTAGTTTCTTTTTCTTTATTATCATATGGATTAGTAGCTTCTTCTGAATTAGGAATGAATTTTTGCGCTTTCATCTCGCTATCCAACACCGATGAAGGTTGATTCGAATTTAATCTCAATTTCAAATTGTTAAAAAGAGCTGTAAATTTATATTGTTCGTTATCATTTATTAATCCAACGCTAATATGCTTTGGGTCTAAGAAATTGAAAATAAATTCATCGGCCATCTGATTCCAAATTTTGAAGTTGTTAGTAGTAAGCCAGCATTCAATAAATTTCGAATTAAATAATGTAAGATTTCCGTTGTCGATATTATTGAGATTTACATCTTCTTCTAAATGCTCTACAATAGTTAAAGAATCGGAAGATGGTTTACCCTCGCCATTTTCATTCTGATGTAAGGTAACGTTAGAAAACCCAGGTGGGGGTTGATGGAATTTTTCGCTGTATTGGTTATACCTCGTTGTGGATAGTAAAGACAAAAGATAGTCCTCAAATTCAAACCGCACAAAGTCATCACTTCCAATGAATTGTTCATTATCGATATCACTCTGCCATTCATCTTTTTCATTATTCTTAATTTTGCTAATTAATGCATTTACAAACTTCTTATCTTTAGATGTTAAGTGCAATTCTTCTGGCTTCCCTTTAGGATAACTTAGCTCATTCGTATCTAAATTAATCAATAAATCAACATCCAATGACTCCACCTGATTAACGAAAAGTAAATTAGAACACCCTACCATATAAGACCTTGTTTCGGAAGCACTCAATTCACTTAGTTGTTGTAGAGGTAAATATGGATTCCAAAATGAGCCTTTTGTATTGAAAACCTGTAAGGGTAAACCAAAAAATCTTAGCATTGATTGTCTGCTGCTCGTATTTAACGAATTTGGTTTTGTTAATGGTCCGTTAGTTTCAATAAAATCTGACAATGGACAACCTGAATTACCGAGGTTATTAATCAAATTTGGTATAAGCGATATTAAATTATTCTGAAATTGAGTTAGCATTTCCAAATTATTATTCGAGTATATTAGAATTTTCTTCTCCAATAATAGGGCCTTAAATATTACCAATAGGTTTGTTTTAAACTTCAGAAGTGTATGTTTTAGATTGAGATTGACAAAGAATTCATCCTGTCTTTCAACAAATTCATTTAAATTCGACTGTTTCTTTGATGTAGAGTCTTTTATCACTCCATCCTCTTCATTAACCTTGAAAGTTGTATTCAAGTTATTATATAGACTTTCTAATATCTCGGTGTTACCGAAGTTATTTTGCAAGAAATAACTAGCCGATATAATTGACAACTTTTCCTTTATAATCTGAAAGATCGGCTGATTCTTAGCAATTACCACAACTGCCTTCTGAACTATCGACCTTGTGATATCCTTGTTCCTTGATATTTCTTCATCAGAGAGGTCACTTGTCTTAACTTGCCTTACGCATGAACATCCAAATAGCGTTTCCAAATGCCTTGGATCACCGTCAAAACTATTGTAATCTTCTCCATCATCGTATGATTTACCAGTCTTAAAGTCGTATACTAAGTTGAAGTTGGAAAACGTTTCTTCGAATAGATGAGAGCCATCTGGTAGCGCTTGAAATGGTAAATTCTTAAATAGTTTGTTGTCCTGTGGGTACAGTGGATAATAATTCGATCTCCACCATTGAATCTCAGGACCTCTAACATGATGAAAATCAACTAAGCAAACAGCAAAAATCATATCATTAACATTGGTATTGATTCCCTGTGCATAGCTTGTTTCTACGATCGGTAGATTGCGTATTTGAATTGATTTCTTGCGTTTCACAGAGCCCGGCGTTGATACCGGCGTTTCGTCACTAGCCGACGAAATTGACTTATTCCTGCTCCCTAAACGCATTGGTCTACAATGAAATTCTCCATTCTTCTCCCCTGATGTTCTCCGCTCTTGTCTTTTAGCTAACCTGATCGGTTTGATGGTGAATTCCTCATTTCCGTGATTGCTGATACTCGAAGGTATCGTTGATGCTGACGGGGCAGTTTCTGCAGTCGAGGATTCCTGGAAGGGATTAGATTCGCTGGGTGAATTGGTCGATATACCTAACCCTATATCATTAGTTTCGTCCATGATATCATCTATAAATTTATACTATATCGATATATCTAAGAATATTTTGGCGATGGTACAAATATTCTCACCTCAAATATTCGACCCTCTACTCAATGGCTTAATCGAACAGCACACTTTTTTAACACCAATAAACATTCATTCTTGTTCATCCGAGTTACAATCTTTCCGGTGACTTCGATACCGGTTTCTACAACCATGGTAGAATATCATAGGCGTTTATCTGTGGTTCATGGTTAATATGGATAATTACAAATTATCACGTGCGTTATCTAGTAGTATTTATGAATAGAACGTCGATTGATTATGGTCTTTGTAGCTGGCATTATAAAATGGCGTTGAAACAGGACGATAAATTCCCAAAAGATGTTACATTTAAGTACATTCCAATCGATTTAAATAGTACCCAGGATCCATTGACATGCGAGCAGCCAATTTTGCTTAAACTAGATAAGCATTTGGAAGAAACGGATGGGAATACTTTAATTGTTTCTGTCCCTGGAGCATTTACTCCCACATGTACAGCGAATCACATTCCCCCATTTTTGACCAATTTGTCGAAGCTAAAGAAGGAAAAGAACATTGGATCGATTATAGTTATTAGTGCTAATGATGCATTTGTTTTAAATGCTTGGGGAAAATTGTTACTATCCACGGTAAAAGTGACAGAACCGGCCCCAAAGATTTTCTTTGCTTCGGATGGAAATGCTGCTTTCAGTAAGGAGTATGATTTATCGGTTGATGCCTCTGCCAATGGCATGGGTATCAGGACTGCTAGGTATGCTATTGTTGTTGAAGACAAAACAAGAAAGATATCATATTTGGGTAAAGAAGTTGAAAGAGGTGTTAAATTCAGTGGAATTGACGCTATTTTACAAGCAAAATTGTAATTGCTTGTATTGATGTAGCTAGTTAGTTATGTATTGAATAAAAAGCCAGACTACATTTATCACTTTTAGCATGAGTCATTATACATCTAATAAGAGAACGCAGAGATTCACTGTAACAAAATAGTTTCCGGGGAATTGATTTTCGTAACTGCTAATTGTTCTAGCTCTCTGATATTGATCGTGATTTTTACCTGATTGGCAATAAGCAAGTATGCAGTCGCAGACCTTGTAGCACGGAAGAATGGTCAATTGAACAGGCAATAGCAAAGTACATCCTCAATTGCACACACAAATTGTCCATGGATCATTTAGCCGTCTAAATGAATAATCGTTTTAACGATGAACGCTGAATATACGGCTATGTATTGCATCTCTTGATATATAATTATATAGAATAACTACCCCACGGAATGCTCACACAAACCAGTCGACTGTCCGGATTCAGGAAATTTACAATTCACCGGAGGCATCGATAGCAATTCTAGCCTTGGTAGCACCAGAACCAGAACCGAAGGATTCGACCTTCTTGACAATGTCGAAACCATCGACAACTTCACCGAAAACGACGTGCTTACCGTCTAACCATGGGCATGCAACAGTGGTAATGAAGAATTGAGAACCGTTGGTGTTTGGTCCGGCGTTAGCCATGGATAATAAACCTGGTTTTTCGTGCTTCTTGGTGAAGTTTTCGTCACCAAACTTTTCACCGTAGATAGACTTACCACCGGTACCGTTACCTCTAGTGAAGTCACCACCTTGCAACATAAATTGTGGGATAACTCTGTGGAAAGTAGAGCTAGCGTATCCAAATCCCTTTTCACCGGTACATAAAGCTCTGAAGTTTTCAGCGGTCTTTGGGACAACATCGTTGTATAACTTGAAGGTAACTCTACCTAACTTGGCGCCATCGGCGGAAATATCAAAATAGACTTGAGACATGTTTAATTGACTAATTATTTAATTGATTAATATATGTAATTAATTAATTGAATGAAAAGAACAAATATTCCACTATGAACAACAATTTGCCGTTAAAGATACGTAGTCCAACATCCTGGTCCACGGACACGACCTTTCCGGATTCTACCAAAAACGTGTTTTAACCGGATTTTCGATCGATCAGTTTTCGGTACGGCGAAGGGTGCAAAAAAATTGACGTCATTATAAGCTATAGGGTTGATCTAACAGTATTAGGACAACTGAAACTTTTTAATGTCAGAATGATAAGATTAGGATATTAAATAATGAAGTGAGCTGAGATTTACATCCGACTAGCCGAGTACGCCCCAAAAGTGGGCACTAGTCATGAACAATGTATGTTCGCAAGGCACCCATACACCTCAACAAATATCCCTAATTTGCTGTCAGGCTTTATACTGAGATGAGGGTAATTATAATGGCTCCAAACGAGGAGATATCTTCAGTTTTGGCTAAATGTATTGGACAGTTGGTAAAACAGCCAAAAGGCTTTGCTTGACGTACATGATGTATGTAGACATGAAGTAATTCATAAGAAGGCTAAATTTAGCTACAATTCTCTGTAGCTGCGGTATCGGAGCTTTAGGGTCAAATTTATGGGTAAAGTATACATGCAATAGAGCAAAAACGCAGCTTTTAGAAGAAGGCCCGATATATATCACATGAGAGATCATGCAAACAGATGACTACCTTCAGAAAGAGAGTCTCTAGCATTTACGTGTAAAGTGTAATACGTAAATTGCAGTCAACCGCAGCATATTGCTGCAGCTGAAGTTTTTGTTAGTTCAACTTTAAAATGGCAACTTATATTGTTGGTGTAATGGTAGGCTGGGCTATAAAATGACAATCTGTAAAGAATCTAATGTAGATCTCAACTATGCAATCCAAAAGTTATGGAATATTGCCACGCCGAGTCTTTGAAGCGGGCGTTGAATATCGAAGACAGTATAAAATCCAGAAATAGCACAGCAGGGCTTAAATGAATTCGTGTATTTGACATAATAATGCCTTAGCGATACCTACACCATTTGTTAGCAGTACTTCTATGCTATACTTATATGCTATGCTCCCTATCAATAACTTCTGATCTACTAACTTACACGCTATAAGAAGAAGCCAAACAGAGTCATATTTATTTCTACTCACTGATTGTGCTACATCAATCTGGTCCGTTTCGCGACAAGGATTTTCGACTAATAATATAATAATAAGCACCGTTTCCATAGCCACATGTGTGTACCACATGCTGTAGTCTTGAAAATACCGCACAGTTGACTATGATGTAACCTAATGCATGCATCTCATGGCCTAAAGTCGTATTTATCAATCAAAATTCGAGAAAATACGTACATGGGCAATCCAATCTCCAGGTATTACCCGTAGTACACAATACTGCTTGATGGATGTCTCTATAGCCTTATTATAAATAAATTGGGAATTAGAAATTTATTATTTATTTATTTGTGGTAACTATATTAAAAAAGGTTCCGTCAAGTTTCAGATTTTGCGAAGAGCCTAGTACTACAATATCATTTAGATTCTCTTCCAAATAATCGGTTGAGTCTTGGTGGATACATAATAGCATTGCGGCATGACTAAACTGTTATTAGATGAGTCGATGGCTCATAAAGACCTCAGGCAGGAAATCAAATTTATAGACAGATATTTGTGCCAGTACGTACACAATCCGATATTCAGTTCGATAGTGCTCATTGGGACTTGTTGTTTTATAAATGGAATCCAGTACTACGATATATATACCAAATCACAATGGGAATTGATTTTTATACAAGATTGCATTTTTGACTTGTTGCAGAATATTATCAGCTTGATATTTATATTACGGTTTTGTATCGGCAAATTTGGAAATGCCCCAATAGAAGCCATCTTGTTAGTGTTGGAGAATATTGGATGTTTCAACTTGGTTTTCAACCAAAACTATTCGTTGTTAATGTCAGATGTAAGTATTGCGTTTAAAGTATTTATCCTTTGGCAAATATTGTGTCCATATTTTATTCTCATCATAAATTTAGCTGATTATATTAATTGGAAGATACGTGATTACAAGCCCAAATCATTACTTGGTAAAAACGATATTGTTCTTAGTTTCCATGAGTTGTTAATCGACACCAATAACAATTTTTTGCCCATATTTATTGCGCATTCATTCATACTAATCGATCTCAACTTCACATTTGTTACTTCCAACAGGATTATTTTTGCCTACAAGCTATCAATTTTCCTGTTAAAATTCTATTGCATATGCCGCTATATTCTATATGAGACTTGTTATATTGTGTACAATATCAATTTCACAGAGAGCTACAACTGGATTTATGATGATGTTAATGCAAATAACAAGTGTAAACCCTTCTTACATGCAAACCCCAATCTTCAGAATAGGTTCTTGTTGACGAGTGTTGGGTTATGCATATGTGTGAATCTTTTATACATTGGCAGTTATTATAAAAATTTATGTCCATAAATATCTTTTTTTTATTATATTTAGATACCTAATAATCGTTATAGCATATTATCGAAACTAAGTTTTGTAGAACGATCCTATCTAAATAGGAGGTTTTAAAACATAGAATGCATGCCTATTAAATATTACAATGATGTTGGATATTTTGTACTCTCTTCAATCTCTCTAGTTGTTACAAGTTTTTGCAGCCTGTGATTATTTCGCTAGTAATTATATAGTACGAACCATTCAAAATCAAGTGTATGTCAATAGTATATTATATTTAAGTATTTGGATCAAGTCGCCTATTAATACTTACTATTAGATAACTTCAAATAACATGAAAATGAGGCAAATTCTTATATCAGCCTTCGTATAATACAATTGATGCATACTAAGTAATCGCCATAAAGGCTATATTTTCTGTATGATAGATCTTATTGATTCATGATTATTATCATTCAGAATCATTATAGTTCGCAAAATTATAATTAAAATTATGAAACAATGACTTTGTAATCATTATGGTGGGTTCGGATTGTTCTTCGTCATTGTTCTCCTTCTCTTTTTCTTCGCCTTCGTTTTCCCCCTCTTCTTCAACATGCAAGTCTATATCATTAGTATTAAAATTTTTGACGTCTTCATTAGTTTCTTGGTCGTATGGTGAATCCAAATCAGTTTCTAAATCTTCCTTTTGTGCTAGTATGGCTTCGGCTTCATCTTTATTATACATTGAATCTTTAACACTCTCATCATCTTTATTGTACAGAGTGAAATATGTAAATAATGAATGCTCATAAATATTAGATTTATGTAAATCATGCTCATCTAAGTTTTGCAGTTCTAGTCTGACTAGTTCCAGTTCTATTTGTTCTTCTAATTCATTAGTGTTCTTATGATGCGTTAGTCTGATCTCGTTGATAATTGTGGGGTTACTATTCGGTAGAGAAGATATATGGGGGATTGAAATTGGATCGGTATTTTTAGGCTCCCTCTCCTTTTGATTTAGATTATCAATCGAAGTGAATTCATTATTAAAGAACTCAGGTTTGAATCTCTCACCATATACCCTATCTGTATCATTAAGGATCATTTTTTTGTAGGACTCATTAGACAAGCTAAATTTCTCCTTACTATCTATACTGTCTCTTATTTCAACGTTCAATCTTTCGGGTAATTGTGAAAAGTAGTCATTAATTCTCATGGACCTACCTTCTGCTTGTTTAACGGATTGGTAGCCACTTCTCGGTATTTCAAAAAGATTAAGGTTATTAATCGCTCGATATATATCTCCATGTGCTATTTTAAGCGGTATAGCATCGTCTTCAAATGGTATTTGTCGTTGATTTAACCAAAGCAGGACTATTTTATGTTCAATAATCTTCAATAAAATCTTCTCCGTAGTAAGTCTAGCTATCTGATCAAATAATACAAGTGACTTGTAATGCATTTTTGGGACTAATTTACTATTGTGCAATGGTGTGATTTTATTATTCAGATATAAGCTTCTACTAAGCTCAAAGGCAGTATCATAATTTATCAATCCTGTTTTATCATTTTCGGCTTCTTCGATCTCTATTGCTTGATTCTCGGGTATATCACTTTCTTTTATATTCTTCTTTTGTCTCTTATTCATAGTATACTCATTAAACTGGCGCTTAAATCTTTGATTTTCATCATTAGTCTTGCTCCTTTCTCTTTGACTTATCATTTCAGCCTGTATTTCCTCCATCTTTATAAATTTTTCACTCATTTCGTATGCTGCCGGTATATTCTCATATTTAATTAAGTTTTTTCGATTAGGTAAACTTTTATACCTATATTCGACTTCTTGTTTGTTTTTGACTATTTTGACTTTATGATATTTCCGCCTCTTTACTACTTGACCTTTTAAACTTTTCAATTCATGCGCAAGACAATTGTAATAATTCATTATTTCAATAGTTGACTTGTCAGGTAGGTTATCGCAGATTGCATCAATTTGATGAATAGAGTACCTTGCAAGACAATTGAAAAATACTTCTTTCTGGTTATTAGTCCAAATTGTCCCGCCACCATTTGCAAAACCCTCATCTCTTTTATATAAAACCATTCCCCTGTTATTTATCTTAGACTCCTGAAAATATGGTTTCTCATCATAAGTGTTTATTAATTTGTTTTGGAAGAATTCCTTAACCTCTCGATTAAGAAAATTGACATAATTAGGATTTCCTCTAAAAATTCTGTTATTTTTTTTGTCTCGTTCCGAATTTTCTTTTACGGTTGGTTTATGATGTCCACTTATGATTTGGGTCATTGGTCCATTATAATCAATTATTCTCTGCGTCACAAACTATTTTTACTATTATCTTCCAATGTCATTGCAAACATATTTTTTTTATTGATCTGATCATATCGAGTCTGCATATAATACATGCCACCAAATTCTAATATTTACTAGCTCTATTTACTATACAATTACATTGCTATGATAATGACAAATTTTGGACATTTTCCTGTAAGCCGCTACTTTCTGTGACTGAGTGAGAAGTGCTTGGTTGTGTTTGGTCTTCTTCTTGGCCTTTTTGTTGTACACCATGTACATTATATATCCTCTTGTCATTAAAGCTATCTCTCTTTTGGTTCATGTTTTCTGTGTCTACATCGTCATCTGTGTCAACCCATTCACCGTCACTTTCTTCTGGTTTATGTATATTGTAATTTTGTAGTATTTCTGGTAAAAACGGCTTCGGTATATCATCAATAGTCTCTTTATGTTTTCCTACATCCTCAGCCTCTTCGTCGTCATAATAAATCTCCACATATTCTTCTGGAACTAGCCCGTTTTCACCACTTTCTGAGTCTTCTGCAACTAACCAACCTTGACCGTGTCTATAAGAAATCCATATGATTTGGCCCTCTGTCAATGCTACTTCGTTATCGTTTTCAGGTATAAAATCAAACAAAGCCATTGCTTTGCAATTTATCTCATCGGATGAATAGCTATGATCCTCGTCGTCACTATCACTTTCCCTATTAACATACGCATTGTCATATTCAAACCCTCTTTGTTCTGAATCGTCATCATGCACAATGCTAAATTCGCCAACTCTTAAAGGATGTAATTCTGAATATGCAAAATCTATAATTGACGTACTAGCTGGAAATATTTCACGGTATGTTTGTTGGCTTGCGTCTTTATTTTCTGTCATTTCTTTCAACTTGAAACTTTGGCTCACAAGTCAATTAAAATAATACGAACAAATGAATAACCCCGGTTTATCTGATCCTCAATAATTATAATATTATTAGTATATATCTGGGGTATATTTGATATTTCAATATTGGTTATCTTGATTCAATTACTTGATTCAATCACTTATTTAAATTAAAAGTGCCCGGTTTTATGATCTAATATAAGGAATTATACGACATTCGTTTTTAATTCAATGTCGCAGATTGTTCATCACCAAATTATGAAACGACATATTTTTTTTCAGACTTCAATGTCAAAAGATAGCCTTATTGACCCCTAATATCATTGGTAGTATCGGATATGGATCCACAAGAAGAACAACAGCTGGAACTTGAAGTTTTAGAATCAATTTATCCAGACGAATTGACAAAATATTCACCTACACATTTTAGTATCAAATTATCTTTAGATACCCCATCTGATCGCAAGCATAGGCTACTTTTAGATGTTAAATATCCCGCAGAATATCCCGAGGTAGTTCCAGAACTTGACATAATAATACCAGAAGAGGAAGAGGAAGAAATAAGTGACCAAGAAAGTGATGATGAGAATGAAAACGAAACTAGACTTATGTTAAATTTGTCGGAAACCATTGAGTTTGAATCTAAGGACATAAAACAGTTGGTGTCCAAATTGGTTGAAGAAGCTGATTTACAAGTAGGTATTCCATCAGTATTTGCGTTAGCAACACAATTAAAAGATGAGGCAGAATTGCTATTCCAAAATAAATTAGAACAAACCCAGAAAAAATATGATGAAGTTTCGTTAGCGAAAGAAATGGAAGAGCAAAAGAAATTCCATGGTACCAAAGTAACGAAAGATTCTTGGAACGAATGGAGAACAAAATTTAGAGAAGAAATGAAGGTTGCTGAAAGAGATTTAGAAAACTTTAATAAAATGCATAACGGTAAATTATCCGGCAAAGAAATTTTTGAAAAGGGTTTGGCTGGTGATGATGAGGAGATTTTAAATGATATTACTGATAATGTAAAGAACATCACTGTTTCATAGTTTCAATAGTAATTCATAACTTAATGCATATGTGTTTATGAAATATTAATTTTTATTTATTATAACTATATATAAATGTTATGGATAGATATCAATCATGTATTTCCATATCAGTGATCCATTCCCAGACCTTCATTATCTCTCCATGATTTTCAATTAAATGGTACCTTATATTTGAATTGTTCTCAATTTTATTACTGATCTTATTCCAGAGCGTTAGCTTTCTGGTCAAATTAGTTTCATTAGTCAATATCAAATCTCTTAACTGTGTTGATCCTATGTAAGATGGAACTTTATAATTAGTACTCTTAGATACCTTATATTGCTTTCTCAATTTTCTTAAGACCTCGTTGTAAATAGTTTCAATCTTTAACCTTTCTAATTTAAATTGTTCATATTTATACTTGATTAATATAGCAGCAATAATCATACCAAGGCACGCCATTATAATAGATTTGTACTCCATCATAGATTTAATTATCGTATTCTGCAATTGGCATTTCAAGCTGATGTTTGATAAGGACGTTGATCGAAAAACTTTGTCCTCTTTTTCTTCCTTTCTTGTGTTGTTAGAGTCAACGGTTGAAAATATGTCGCCAACCCTGAGTCCAGTCTATACTTAAATGTTAGTAATTCCGTGCTTAAAATAATAATTCTAGAAAAAAATAACTTGCCTTACAATTATTTCGGGTTCCTTCTCCAATTCAATTACTGATCTTTGCCATAATTCTTCAAATTCTTCTTTTGTAATATATGGTGCCTTCATCAATAATAACAAATCGTGTAATTCGTCAACGGACAACCCTGCCTCAAAATTGTCAACGGGTGTCTTTCCACAATTCTTATTAGCATTCTTCGACCTTAATAAATCTAACGCTACATCAATCATAATTTCCAATTTTTCAGCTTTCTTGGTATCAGGGACACACTTTTTCAAACTAGGATTAATGATAGGCAAAAAATCAAAGTACCAAGGTTTATATTCAACAAAATCTTCATAACAACCAATTTCTAAATAAGGATAGCACCTTGCATGTGCTGGGCATTTTACACAATTTGGCTTGAAATTGTTATCCAAATAAGTCCCAAACTGGACTAACCAATTTGGCAAGTCGCTTGATTGAGGAATAGTAGGCTGGTTTATCTCTTGGCCACAGTAGCCAATTAAGTATGTTTGTTCTCTATACCAGTAACCAGATAAACCAATTGATAATATAATCAACCATAACCCGATAAACGAAAATACGCTTATTGGAGAAGGTTTTTTAATAGATATACTATTTTCTTTTTCAACAACATCATTCAATTTTTCAATCTCTTCTTCGATGCCTTTCTGAATCTTGTCCAACTTTTTATCCTTTTCTTCTTCTTCTTCTTCTTCGTCACTCAATTTATCCAAGTCTGGTTGTGAAATATTTTGGCTTTTATATCTTCTTGGACGTGGTGATAGTTTCTTGGTAGGGGTATCACTCTTAATACCGGCGAAACTATTATCACTCAATTGGAAGTCCTTCGGAGGCAAGCCTTGGACAGTGATACCTAACTGTGATGCTAAATCTGCAGATGTCAAAACGTCTACTCCTTTAGATGAGCGCTTATCAGCTGATTTTCCTTTTGATTTTATTTTACTTTGCTCTTTATCGAAATCATCCTGCTCTTCTGTCAATGATAAGAATGAGTTATCAGATTTAGGCGACTTATTCTTTTTAGCTGAACTCTTTACGGAATTGCTTTTCTTAGACGAGCTTTTAGCCAATGATAAATGTTGATGGTTCTCGCTGGACTGGGATGGTGTGATATCTTGATGTAAAATCTTTTTGTCACTAGCAGTACTCTTTTTGTTACTTGGAGTAATATTGTTATCGCCTGGAGTATTCTTCTTAAGTGGCGTTTCTTTATCAATTTTAATGGGCGTTGATTTCTTTGATGACGGTTTTTTAATCTTTGAAAGCTTAGGGCTCTTCACTTGATTAATTATGCTTTTTGAAAAAATGTCTGTCTCTGAATCACTCGATTCATTGTCATCGAAGAGATGTCCTTTTTTATGAGATGAAACTTTCGATGCTGCGGCGGAAGGTGACTTGAGAGAATTCGATGATGGAACTCTAGGCTTCTTATCGGGAGTATCTTTTTGATTTTCATCATTTTCTCTATGTCTTTTTTTCGACAATGAGGGAGATTTAAAATTCGATGGAGATTTGATCTTCTTTGCACCTGCAGAACTAGGCGGCGACTGGAATACGTTCTCATTGCTAAATGTACTCTCCGACTTAATGTCAGTTTTACTAGTACCTTTGGCATCTGATTTTCCGACATCTATAATCACCAGCTCCTGCTTGGTTTCGATATCGATTTCTGACAGGTCAGTACTGGCCGTAGTCTTGTCGACTGTCTCATCGCTGAAGGATTTCTTCGTCTTTTTCGAATCTTTAGGCTTTCGCTTCGTCTTCTTAGATTCCTTGGTTGCTAATTCGGTGTCAGATTCTATTCCTGAAACATCAGACGCCTGAGCAGACGACTTAGTAGCCTTGGACTTCTTCTCTTTTGCTGCGTCGCTTTCCTCTACCTCAGCAGATGTAGATCTCTTCGACCGGCGTACCGGCTTGCCAGTGGTGGCGTTGATAAACCCAACATCGTTCAGATTCTTTATCGATTTCTCATATTGCTGCAAGAGCTCCGACGCATTGGGCTTAATTTCATCGTTAAATAGCTTGATTAGATCGGTTTTCTTGGCGTTAGAAGGATATGAAATATCGTACTCGCTGAGAATGCCTCTCAACTGGGCCACCTTCAAGGACTTGGGGTCAAATTCTAAATACACGTTAATACTGGCGTTTCGCATATATTTATATCGCATTGTATTACTCACCTTCTTGAAGATACTGTTTCTCGTCCATTTTATGACAAATTGGTATCTACGGTTGTAGGATTAGAATATTTTTATAGAAAAGTAAACCAAAATTTGAAGATCAATTGTGTAAACAAAATGAGCGTCGGTATATACATCCTTACACCTATTTTGGTTAAATGATCTTTTCATCCATACCTCAATATCGTCGCACTTTATGAGTAGTTATCTGTTATAATATTTCTACAGCTGTTATCCAATTGCAAGAGTAAACGATAGTAAACGATCTATCTTCAGAGAGTATGATTATTCATGTTCAGAGTTGAATATCTAACTTACAGCCTTGACCAAGTTCCGAATCGCTGTAGACTATGTGGCCGCTACCGTTAGAAGATTACCCGAGAACCCATAGATCTCCACCCTTCACACAATCCTCCAAGTCGAACACACAGGATGCTGATGTCTATACCAAGAACATCCCTATTAAGCATTCCGGGTCCTTGTGAGCTGCCGAAGCCATCAAAGAATCTGGAATCATCTGTCACGTACGCTGTGCATACAAAGCCACACGATTACTTGGATTACACTGTTCTATGTAGGAGATAATTGCTATTCTACTAGATCAGCTATAAATGGCCTATATCTGTAAGCTTCATGCGGTTGAATGTAGCCTTGCCTATTCCAGAATCATACATCCAACACGCAACCTGAAACGACTTCTCTCGGTAATTATCTCTAACAGGTATGCTAGCCTCTGCAATAACCCTAAGTATTGCATTCGTCTTTCCTGCGAAACAGACCATAATATGGATCCACCCGCTTAGGTCAGCGGTATGCTGCATAATCGAACTTTTCTATAAAGCCTGGCTATCATCACGCATCGCTTGTTCGATACCAATCGGTCTTAGGCGTCACAGGGCCTGCAACTAACCTCGAGTTACTTACGGTTGTTGGTCGGATAGCTATGTCCACAGCATTGTTAGCGCGAGCCAGGGTGCCAATGTTGGGCCCTATTATACAGGCCACCCGATGCGGTGGCCTCCACATGAAGCCCCCTATTTAATGACACTGGGGGGCCCCGCTTATGCCCAGACTATAGCTGTAGGCTGGGCTTTCGTCCTCATCCAAGTCATAATCCCGGTCTTCTTGCCATCGTGCTACGACTCACCCAATAGGCCACTATAGTTGAATAGTGCATTATTCTGAATTGTTGGCTTATGCGCCAACAGGGTAATCTTTGTTTCGGGGTTTCAGAAGCGTCCGCTAATAGTTTACCGCATATTCTGTATAGGTTGCGTGCGGCATGTTCGCTCTGTACGTCTTCAGTACAATAATAGGGTGGATTTGGTGTAGTTTCTGTATTTTGTACGCTTTTGTGCACGGCTAGTTAAACGAGCAAAGAGTTGTACAAGCGTCTACCCGATTCGAGCGAATCGAAGCATGCGCGCCGGGCCTGGACACCCTGGGAGCCGGGGCCAGGCTAGCTTCTTGGAATAGCTACCGATAATAGCTGCCCAGGCTAGCTGCCCAGACTAGCTGCCTATGCACGACGGGCCAGTCATTAACAATTTCGTCGTCGTCCCGCTGGCCGCCGCCGCTGTCGTATTCACAATATTATTTGGGTGATATATGTAGAGCGCGATTACCTGCCGTGACCAAGACGCCTTAATACTACTCGCCAACACAACAGTGCACCCGCTATCGTGCAGCCTGCTGGTGCCGAGACATAGTGCGCATTGTGCATCTGGCACACTATCCTATACGTAACAATAGCTTTCCGTGCGCACCATGCAATATAAAGTTCCTATATCGACAATCAATCACCTCGTTTAAGCAATTGACCACCCCAATTTCCCGGCCTTTCGTACAATCAGGCAACCCTTTGGTGGGTTGTATCTGTACTGGCATCAGTATCCGTTGCATTAAGGCATTTGGGACTTTTAATAGTACCCTTGTATGCTTTGGGGGGCCGATGGGCCATACTTGGCCCATCGGCCCCCCAACTTTCGATCCGACACACAATAAGCCCCCTGTTATAGGCAGTAGCCTAGAACGGGGAGGGTTCGACCCGTCTAAAATTAGCTAGGTTTCATCCTACGCAAGCGCATTGTTTACGGATATAAGTAAGCCATATACTTTTGGCGAGGTGTACCTAATAATAATTACAGGTAAGTCTACTGTCGCACAATAGGGTTAAAGCATAATCTTTGCGTACGTCAGGATAGTGAAAATCAGTAATTCATGGGTCAAATTATATAAGAACGACGACGTACACAAAATTCCAAAAGCGAGCCGAATTGAACCCAGCAGTATTATACTACTCTTTAGCAAAAATTCGGAAGATACATAATAGACGCCATAATATATGCCACAATTGCCTTCAGTGTTTGAGTTGATAAACGATCCTCTTCATAACAAGCAGGATAAGACGCCGCCGACGCCCCTACCCAGGATATCGTCGTCGAGCTCGTTATCAAATCCATTGGATAACACATCACCTCCTCTTGTGAAGCCTCGGAATGCTAACAGGCTTTCTGACTCCAATATCGATTATTTCAACTACTACAGCCCACATCGGCAGTCGATTTCGTCCTCGATCGACTCAGTATCCCGCAAGTCATCCACCAACACATCTAACATCCCCACGTCCATATACCGCCACGACAGCATAGGACACCGTCACGAAAGCATAGGGCATCTCCAACATACGTCAAGACAGAATAGCGTGAGTCAGGGGGCAAGCGACACTCAGGGAGGGGCCATGGGAGGACCCAAGATGGCGAATGTCCCATCGATAAACTCGATGTCGGCGATAACACCGGTCCAGGTATCTCCCCTGACGTATACGGGACCCCAGGTAGGTGGCTCTGGAGCTAACCAGAGCGTTCTGGGGCCTATGGGTGGGCCTACCAACGAGCACTTTCTTTCGAACAGGTCTGCCAGTCTTCCACATGCACCGGTCGTTTATCACGGCCTGGATTACTACGGTAGTGTTCAGGGGACCAGCCAATCGGGCAGGCTGATGTTTTATGCTCCTGGGCAACATAGTCAAAGTACCAGTCCACCTAAAGGCCCCCTTTCTTATCCAACACACAATGCGCCTACAGGACATCACAATACCACCCAGTCTGAAGGGTATGCGAATCAACAGATAAATTTCACACATCCTATGTACGGACAAAGTCAGTCAGGTCCTGTTGGTGGCCCGGGAGGGCCCCAATTCGGGCCAGTCGGCGTATAACGGGACTTACGACTACCAAATGATGCCATATTCTGTACAGCAGCCAGTTTACTACCCAATATATTCACAACTTCCCTATCATCAGGTAGAAGAAAATAACGCGCTAGTTAACAAAAGAAGAATTATTAAAAGAAGGACAAGAACTGGATGTCTTACTTGCCGCAAAAGGAGGATCAAGTGTGATGAAAGAAAACCTTATTGCTTCAATTGTGAACGGTCCAAGAAGGTTTGTCTCGGGTATGAAAACTTAGCAAAACTGAGAAAGAAGAGTAAGCCCGATTCAGATTCTAATTCCAATGATGATGATGAAAAAAATTAACATTTTAATTCTACGTTGTATTATGATATAGATATAGGGTATTATCCTTTACTTTTTTTCTTCATTTCTTAACTTACTTTACATCAATATTATCGTAACCTCTATTGTAGATTATAGTCAATAATAATAATAATAATAATAAGATAAATAACTATGTGCGTAAGGAAGGGTGTAATAGCGATCATGTAATTGTTATTATTATCGAGTAGTGGTCTCTATAATAAAAATATAAGTTCAGAGAAAGAAAGAGCATGTCTGCATTTTCGGTGGTACTGATCGTTCACTTCGACTCAGTCTGTTTTTTGTTGGCCCATGTGATGTTTATTTGCAGCAAGCAATGCAACTTCGAAGCATTGAAAGCCTACGTACCGAGTCATATATTTGTAATTTAAATTACTTGAAACTAATTACTTATTTGGCTAGACAACTGTTCCCATCTGTAGTTCTCGTATTTGAAATTAATTGTTTGATCTTTAAATTCTTGCAAGTGAGATCCAAATAAAATGTTTTTAAATAGAGTAAAATCACAATCACTCTCTTCGATAACTAACAGTCCCCAGGGATAGTTTCGGATATGATTTCCATTCTGAACGATATTGCTCGAAATAATACTAAAAGGTAGCTTATCCTGGATAGATTGAAATTCCTCATCATCTTCAAATCTAAAGATGCTTATATTATGCGACTTGATATTATCCATGATTAATTTCTTATTTAATCGCAATTCGTCTTCTGTTAGTGTGTCGCTCTTGGAAATTACAGGAATAACGTTCACTCTAGTACTTATGTTTTGAAGAACAATTATATCGAGCGCACTGAGACCTCTACTGGTAGGTCTAATAAAATAAATAGCGACATGGATTCGACTATCTTGTTTATGAGGGTTCCTATTAATCCGTAGCTCTTCGTCTAATATTAGTTTATATTCATTTTCAATGAATGAAGTAATAAACCTACCGGTTGCATTATTCTCAAGTTTCAGGTTAAAATTCTGAGTATAATTAACTTTAAGTTGAATAGGAATGCTATTCGATTCTGTGACATCTATTTGCTTTAGTAATTGACTCTTGTTTACTGATAGAAAAATACATACTTATAGTTTTGGATTCAATCCTTAATTCATTGCTATAGGACGGTTTTAGCTCGTCTTCAAATACATTTTGGTTGCACAAAGTATTAATAAATGTCTTCTTGCCGATCCCATTCTCCCCAATCAACAATAGGTTGAAAGTAATACCCTTTTTGTTGATTCTACGCTGTCTTATTTGCTCCGGTGTAAACTGGTATGTTAATTTTATTCTAGGTTTTCTCCTTTAGTAGCATACTTACTTTCTTATCTGAAAGCTTCATTATAACTATGTTTTATTCAAGTATTGTTTTAAAAGAATTTGTCAATGATATTTGTAACTCGCATTAATTTTGCAACTATTTTTTTTGTATTTGTGTTGAGCCTGATTTTTTCAACCTAAGAGAAAGTCCACTGAAAGCGTGATTATCCTTGGCTAGTACAAACAAGGGAATCGATTTATTGTATTCTAATTGTATGTGTTTTTATATTACAAGACTAACTAATTAAATATATATACATTTTATCCTCTTTAACCAATTAAAATGCTAATTAACAATTGAATATTGTTTTAATCTAATTTATCCATTTCTTTAACTGTGTAGTCTAATATATAGCTTTGTTCGATAAGATCATCAATTCTAGTGAAATGACGTTCACTGTAAGGGATAATTGAATCGACTAGTTTCATCAATCCTGGAATTTCAATCAAGCTATCAATTTCAAATTTGTGTAAGATTACTGTAATAAGTTTCTGACTTATTTCGAAGAACTTACCATTGACATTCCAGTCTCTTATTTTCTTAAATAGCTTGAGAAGCTGGTCCGATGCTAATTGTCCGATGGTTGCTTCTAACTTAAACGACCCAATAGCGCTATTGGAATCTTCGTTCAAATTAATAGATGATTTAATCACATTGTACAATCTCATAGGATGATCTAAAGTCAATGCCAATAAAAATGCACTAGACCAATCTTTGGTAGTGATGTAATTGGTCAATTTTTGTTCTTGTTCAACCTTAGTCTTCTGTATAGCTTCTTGCTCTTGCAAGAACTCGTCTGTATTATCTGTCCATATAGATAATTGACCATCTGCATCAGCTGACACAATTTCTAATCCATCATTCTTTACATCAAGAGCCCAAATTCTATTATCGTGGTTATCGATAGTTTTCAAACATTCACCTGCCAAATCTTTCACATCCCATAATTTGACTAATCCATCAGCACCAGATGATATAATTTGTTGGTTTTTATTGAAAAATCTCACTCTTTGTACAGCATTTGTATGTCCTTCAAACGTTTTAGTGCAGGTAAAATCGTTCAAAGACCACAATTTGACTGTTTTATCACCACCGCTAGTTGCAATCAACTTATCATATTTACAAAAGTTAATATCCCATAAGCCTCTCTTGTGTCCTTTCAATACACCAATAGTTTCACCGCTTTCCAAATTCCACACTTTTCCTAGCTTATCATAAGAGGCGGTAGCAAAAAATTCGTCATTTGGCGAAATATCTATAGAATTTATATCTTTTTCGTGGGCTCTTCTTGTATATTCTGAAGTTTTAACAACCAGGACAGAGCCCGTGGGTTTTGGAACTTTCCACTTCTTAACAGTCAAATCACTTGATCCAGTGATGATAAATGGTGGATACTCTTGGTTGGTGGATTTAGGCAAACTTATTGCTGTAACTGCACCCGCGTGACCATGAAATACCGCATATTCTTCAAACGAATTGTCATTCCATCTCCACAATCTAGCTTCATTATCCTTAGATGCTGTAGCTATCCATAATCCATCAAGTGAAACATCAATTGCATTAAGTAAATCAGTATGACCCTCACAAATATTCAATTCAAAAGGTCTCTCTGGGTTTAAAATTCTTAACGATGGCGAATTAGTAGCCAATGCAAGAAATTGAAAATCAGGACCAACATATCTTATATCTGCAATAGTTCCATGATTACCGGCAATTCTATTAATAATTCGTATTTCTACTATTTCGGACTCGTCATTATATTCATTTATATCAACAAATACCAATGTTTGATCACTAATAACTAGCATTAAGCGGTTGTTTTCCAATTCCAAAACATCGATGATCATTAGTTCTTCGTTGGTTTGTAATGGTGTCGTGGTTTGCGCAACTAATTTACCGCTATCAAAATTCCAGATTTTCAAGATGTTCTCAGAACCTGCAGTGTAGAAATATAAACTATCCTTATTCCTACTCCAAGGTAAATCTACAAAACCTGCATTTTCTATCTGGTCTTTTACTGGGAAGGTTTTAAGTGCTTTGAAGTTTTTAGTATTATAGATAATGGCAACTTGATCTCTACCACCAGTTATGAAATATTCCCCACTCTCACTAAATGCTACACCTCTAACAGCCGAATTATGTTCATTTATAGTTGAAATACATTTCCTTTTGACCAAGTCCCATATCTTAACAGTACCCATGATATCTCCACTGGCCAATTTCCAATTTGAAGAATTAAGTTCACCATAAAAAGTCAACGAACAAATTGTAACACCATGACCCTTCAAAGAATGTGTGACATACCCACCTTCAATATCCCATACTGTGATTACCCCATCAGATCCCCCAAATGCAAATAATGATGATGTTTTGTCAACGGCTGACATGTATACTGGTGATGACATTTTGAAAGTTTTAGTAATTTCACCTTCATTCAAATCAAATATACGTAACTGTTGTGACTGAGACAATATAGCTAATTTCTTTGCATCAGGTGTAATCAGTAAATTAGTAATAAGTTCTCCATCTCCTTCAATCTTATGTATGATCTCATTGGTGGATAAATCAGTTATGACTACATCTTCATTAATTGGAGTAGCCAATATTTCTCCATCTGCCGAAACACTTGCAGATATACCCCCAATATAAAACGGTTCTATATCCTGATTAGCAAATGCTGTTCTTAACGAGTCCATCTCTATAATGAATACTGATCTCTTCTTTAATCTATTCTACATATTGTTCTAAAAGGGCATCTCGAAATTTTTTTTTAGAAGTTCGGTTTTGTGTTACTTTTACTTTTAATCGTGAATTATATTTATGTCCAATCTATACCTAATGACAGGGCAGTATTTTGAAGATAGACTTCAAGATAATCTTCAATTCCAATACTTTTATCACCATACTTGTCACCAGACAATACCTGTCTAAGTCTTACCAAATAAAATGCCAAATTACTGACAAATAAGACACACCTAACCTTAAATAACTTAAAATACTGTAAAATCCTTGCACTTACAGTCGTAACAGAGTGAGAATTTTCAATCATTAATGCATTTATCAGCTCACTTGTTAATAAATTTATTCTATTAACTGGACTACCAAAATTTCGATTCAAATTTTGAATCATTCTCATGTTTCTAATCAAGAACAAAAGCTCAACTGGGAATTTCTCTTCATCACTTAAAAAATCGTGCAACAAATTATTGATATCCGAATCACTTCTATTAGTTGATTCGGGGCTCGGCTTAATTGGCTTCAACTGAACTAACGTTGCAAATAATTCTGTAGATCCAATTCCCCATTTGTGACCTATTTCTTCTATGCCTTGGGTATTGAACGAGAATAGATATTCCCAAAGCTGACAGTTCTCTATACGGAAACTATTAGGTAAGGAAATGTAGAGACCGTGATCCAATATCACAAGTTGCTGATTGCCGGCATTATCAAATCTAGCCAATAAATTTCCTGGGTGGGGATCCGAATGAATGAACCCATATTCGAATATTTGTTTACCAAACACCTTGATGTATTGCTTCATAGTCAAAGTTAAATCAATATCAGATGCAATCAATTTGTCTTTATCTGTGAGCGCAATCCCATCACACCATTCAGTTATGAGAACTTGTCGTTTCGATAAATCGGAATAGTTATGTGGGATATAAATATTCGTATTGTTCATGCTTTCATCCTTCTCGATTATTTGCCGCAACTTGCTTGCATTCTCCATTTCATTTACGAAGTCTGCTTCCTCTACCAATTGCTCAGATACATATTTTGTGAAAAAGCTTAGAGGTATATCAAACACTCTCTCATAAATTTTAGAAATCAATTTATACATGAATAGATCGATAACTATCTGTTCGTTGATATAATGATGTTGTACTTTGATGGCTACATATTCACCATTGAAATTTAACTTACCCTTATGTACTTGTGCAATAGAAGCGCTTGCAACTGGGTCATGGTCAATACTATCAAATACTTCCATCTCATAATTTTCACCCAAATTCTTCCTCAAAACCTTGTCAATTTGCTCCCATGTATCTATAGGTGCATCATCATACAAGTTAACAAATCTCTTTTGATATTCTTTAGGAAAAAAGTCGCCTTGGTTAGCAATTGCCTGTCCTAGTTTGATATAAAGACCTCTGTTTGTTCTTAGCATATTCAACAACCTTTCTGCAGCAACATTATGCAAATCACTTATTGTTTCATATTTTGCTGTATTACAAGAATACTCATAAGCTATCCACAACGTAACATAAAGTGCCCTGACAGACCTAGCCATTATAGATGAATATGCATACCTATCAATTAAATACGCTGAACCACCGAGACCCACAATTAGTAATCCGGGTCGAATAAGATATCGATACGCTGTCGACTTTGGTCCCTTATTGCTGTCTCTAACTATATTAGTTGTCAGGTATTTCACTTTCGGTGTTGGTATGAAGGTGCTACTTCGTATCTTGCACGATCTGGAGATACCGAATGCACCTCTATTCCTGTAAGCAAACATAATATATACTATTAAACTTAAAATGTATTGCTTCTTAGTCTATAAAGGTATAGGTTTCTGCAATCTTCTCTTCAGATAGAAAATACGACCGTTAATACGGTAAATTGTGATTATGATAACTAAACCTAACCAAAAATGGTGAGCTTTTTGTCCCGGAACAAGATTCTCGAAAACGAATGTGAAATCGAAAATTTCTCTTCCTTAAGGATTATTCAAATCAATCGATCCACAAAGTCATAATGATTGCCATAACTCGTCAAATAACCAGGTCTTCAATTCGTTCTTATTCTACTGTGGCACAACCTAGAAAGGTTGGTGCTTTTAGAGGTGGATTTTTAGGATTTTTAGTTGGTGTTACTGTAACAGGTGCTGGTTCATACTACTACTTATTGGAAGAATACAAGCAAGCTAATAATGTTGTTGTTGCCGATGTTGTTGCTTTACAATCATCAATTAATAACTTAGAAAAGCATGTTAAGTTATTGGAAGAATCTAAGAA